GCCCGGTAGAACTAGTACCGAAATTGTCCAGTGGCAGAAGAAATGTAGAATTAGCTACCGACGTGGGGACTAGGGATTTCATTACTGGTTGATCGACAACTCTATTGAAGGTGAAAAGAGGTTCCTGCATGAAATCCACGTATTTTTGTTAGAATTTTCCCTACCAGGATACTCGTGTCACGCCCTGTCCTCCGTACCTTTTTCTCTTGAAAATACACCCTTTTGGATAGCAAAAAAAAAATAATCAAAGCCCCTCCCTAAATCCCATTGTAGTAATAACCTCGGGCCCGAAAAATCCTTTGCCCCTGAGACTAGGACGAAAAGCAAAACTAAAAAACCCAGTGGAAAGGCCGGAGCGTCACAGCCACGTTTCAGTTTCACACGCCCCCATCCCGACTAACAGGACAATGGGACGAGTTCAGCGTCTGAGGATCTCACATCACGAGGGCAAAATGAGATTAGGGGAGCATGTGGACTCCAAACTCCTGTTTTGGCCCCCGAGCCTACTGCACCACGCCTTTCTGGTTCAAGTTGGGATGTGAATCAGGGCATGTGAATGTTTGCGGAGAGGGAAGTTGGAAACATGATTCATGACGCCCTTACGGAATAGGGAGCCCCGATATTCCAACCATGTTTACAATTTGCAGCTATGTCTTGCTGCTCCGTTATAGATACCGGCCCTCGGTGTGAGTGGAGGTTCCGGGCAGGTCCCAAGTTCGTACGATTCTTCTCGAAAGAAAGAAAAATCGCAACGCACTGTTCGCATGGAGGTGCCTCGCAGGGAATCCACAAACAACGGTCCACTCGGTGGTGTCGGAGTCTCGCAAGACTCCACTAGTGGAGCAGTTTTCCGCTATCGTCTGAGATCATGAGAGACTTTGCTTGTGCTGTGCAAGTTCCTCTGATCTAAATGCACTGGCCACTTCCGTCTTGAGCATAGCACTACTGTACGGAGTACGGAGTATGTAAAGTACAGTTCAATAGTCAATGGCAAAGGTACTCCATCCCGGAGGCTGTGTTATGCCAAGGGCGCCCTGGGAACTATAGCTTGCATGTGTGTCGCCAAAATTCAGAAATCAATAGTCTCGGAGGGAATGCTTGTTTAACCGTTAGCACCCCGTTGTCTTATCTTTTTGTTTTCCCGCAGGGGAATATGCCTGTGCCTCTTCAATCCATGGAAACACGGCGAGGCCGACCTGTCAACCCGAATTTCGAGACTGGGGCCCGGTCTCGAAACAATGGGAGGTGGCTGGAATATTCCAAGGCATAAGCTTGGTTCCATTTATCTGGCCCCTGGTGTACCGCGGTACCGGAAGTCTCGGTAGTATCAAAAGCTATACTCTACTGTACAATATGCCTTGTCCGGGGTTTGCTTAGAACCTCTTCGCATTTTTTTGATCTGCAGGGCACAACATCTCATCGGCCAATTTTGCCGCCGAGCGGAGCCTATAAGCACCAACAGCAATTAAGCCGTACGGATTATTCCGTGGTGAATGGTCTAGCACCATGCAGCGATCGGCTTGCGTCACCCTCCGGTGGTTTCGTTTCGGCGCGATGACGACGTGCATGCACGCGATACGAAATGAAGGAGTGGTCCCATCTTGGCGGCGAAGCACCCGAGATTAAAGTTGCGCTGCGATCGATGTTGCGATCGGATTCCCCGCAGTTGTTCTGGAACAGTGCAAGTATCTACTCCGTATGTATACATGGCCCAGTCTCCTCCCCTCCTTCGTTGGTGAGCTCGGGGACGGTGTGGCTGGTCTGACAGCGAGGGACCCCCCACCAACGCCGCTCTGACCATGGAATGCCGTGAGGAGCTGTGCTTTGCTTGGTATCTCTTTTTTTCGGTTTCTCTGGCGCCGATGTGGTAAGCACCGCGTCATGGTGGCCTGAAGTGGAAAATGACTGAGAAACGTTCGCAAGGTTGAGTCTGCGATCGACGGTGGTTTCGGCCGTAGAGGGGCTCGCTGTGCGCTGTGATTCGGGATAGGGGCCAACGGTTCCGAGTTTTCTCCTCCGAAACCCGTGCGAGGAGAGGCGAGGTGAGTGGGGGTCGTTTAGCACATCCACCGTGGGTTCGGAGTGATCGTGTGGAGCAGCGTCTGTACGTAAAGGGAGATGCGAGGTCCCCACCGGCTATTGAACCGGCCAAACTTTGTTGATGTGCATTGTAAAGAGAAAATGCAAAGCTCCATACACATACTTTCGGCCCGGAAGTGGCACTGTTGTGACCTCATCTTGGATAAGAAGAGGAAAGATGTGCAAGGCGTCGACTACAAGTGATGATTGTGGTGGTGGTGGATGTAGTGGGAGCTGTTCCTTGTCTTTTAGGGCAGGGAGGGTCACGTATGTACGAGAGGCGGGGGGCCAGTATCAAAGTACTCCGGTACCCCCAAATGCATATGACAAGGCTATAGAATAATCTGGAAGTTAAAATGGTCCACTGCAGAATCTTCAACATTTTTGATTTCAGATCGCGATCGATCTGAAATTCCAGGAGGCCTTCATTTCAGCTGTGACCTGAATTGTTTCATGCTTTGGGATGTGGAGATTCAAGGAGTGCTTTGCGTGGTGGAGTCGAGGCCTTCCCGAGCCACGGTTGGCCCCGAATGATGCTAGTGCACCCGAGTGACAAGAGTATCTAAAGTACTCCGTACGGAGTACGGAGTATATGTACATTTGATGGTTTGAAAGCGGATATAGTTCAGGGGTAAAAAAATATAATAAAATAACAATAAGAATAATAATCTGCGGCTCTACGGAATTAATCCCATTCATAATTCTCCCGTCAATACGGTCTCTTCCCTTCTTAGCGATGCCCCATTCGGTTTCAGGGCTCGCCGCTAAGACCAATGAGCTTTTTGATATTATCTTGGACATAACCATGGATGATCGCGGGGTCTCCCATTCGGACCATCCTTTTTTTAATCATTTATTTGTTTATTTCTTTTCCTCTATCCTCGATTGCTTCCCCCTTGACCACCCCGCTGGGACACCTCCACCTCCATCCGGTGTCCTCGCGCCCCAGCGGCGGGCAGCTCTCTGACTGGCCCATCCATAGTTTGCCGCTTATGGACCAGCCTTCCACATGGCTGGCCGGTGAGAAAAAAGCAAATTCCAAAAAAAGAGGAACTAAACAAAAAAGGTGGCCAGGGTCTGGCATGCCACCTACGCTAACTAAGACCAATTGGCCAGTGGCTCATGCATCAATATCAGGCTTTGGCCACCCTTCCTAGTCATATCCACTAAGATCCACGTCGGAAAATTTTCTATCGCTCACGGCGCTAGTAGCCCATTACTGTTGTTTTGAGATGTACAAACGGGCGAACGCTTGTGTCTCGGTACGAAAGAAGCCCGCCTCGTGGGCTCCTGGTGGGACCCGGGACCCATCGACCCTCTCCCACGGGCAGATATTTATCATTTATCAGGTCAGCGGGATATGGTCCTTCTAGCTTGTCTGGGTCCAGGCTTCAGCCTTGAATCCCCCGTTTCCACCGGTAGCAGAGGGGTATCTCTTTTTCAGCTCGGGCAGGACCGCCATTCGCCACAGGACCCAGTGCTGGCCGTGGTCATAAGTCACGACTTTGGGAGGAGGGGCAAAGAAAAGAGGATCCCTGTGCTCTGTGCACGTTGAATACTGCTAGATGGTGATTCAAGGGCTGTACCCCGTACTTTGGGCAATCTTTCCGGTATATTTCCCTTAAATTAGCTGTTTCCAGCCTTAAAGCCAGGTACAATTGAGACAAAAAGAGGGTAGCAATACGCGTAAAATGGGATTAACTAGTGAACTGTATCGGAATGATCCTTCGCAAGATCGGGTTTAGGTCTGATACTCCCGTAACCTGGCCGTTTTGGAACCCGGGGTTACATCTCTGGGACTATTCCACAAGGAGGATCATTCGCCTCCATAGATCGCTGATCTCTCCCGAGTTGACGTGCGCGCAACCAACTTCTGACCAGACCATCCTTGTGTGCACACTCCTTTCCCTGGCCCACCCTTCTTCCTTTCCAAAACAGTGTCTTTAGAGAAGTTGCTTGTCTTGCATCTTCTTGGCTTCTTTTCTCTTTTAGCTTCATCCATCCTTGACGCTACTGTTTTATCTTCATCTCTTCTCAACCCATTTGACTTTTTTCATTCTAACGGTCTTTTGTGCATAAACTTTGACCGTTTTTGGCCGTTGCAAAGATCGTCATTCCACGAACCCACGCGTATATCTTTTCCTTGCAGGTGTGCCACCACATTGGGCCTCTCTCGGTATCCAACTCTGATTGCCCAGTGGACCCTGGCGGTATTGCGGGCGTCCGTTTAATATCTCAACCCGACTGGTATTTCCACTCCCTTTCGCTTGGCCCGCTGCCCTCTTTCTCGTTTCTTGTTGCCGTTAGATCTTTGGCCCCGGTCACTCCATTTGCTCTTTCGTTTTTCCTTGGCTATTAGTCGTTGGAGAGTTTAGCAGTGGACTCTACTCTCGTGGTCTGGTCTACTACCTATCTACGTAAAGATCTTCATCGAGGGAAGACGAAGGTTGTGATCTGAGATCCAGCAAGGACTTAGGACACAAAGTGGCCTGTTGTCCCGCTTTACTTGACGTCGTTTACTCAACTGATTCCTGCACCTTACAACTATCGGCGCCTAAGAAGTCCACGCTTCATCTCTTGCCATCCCCCTCTTTTGACCAGATCTGATATACATCCGAGGTCACGCCCAAACGCTCCGGGCGTCACCCTTTACTCCGTTAAATTGCAGAACCCTGACTCTGTTGCGCAAGCGCCCCGGCATTTCCATTAGACCCACCTTCGTCTCATCTCGGGGAGACGACGCATTAGTTTCGCTTTTGTCCCTTTTTACCTTTTTTCTCTTCTGTTTCGTTGTGGTGTTGTTTGGTTTGTTTTGAAATCTCGTCGGTTCCATATCTTGGGTGGAAGTTGACGCCGGTCTTGATCTTCTTCTTGTCTCGTTGATTCAGTCAAGAAAGAAGGGCTCGGTCGATCTGTTGAACATGTCAATCGGCGGCCCTTGTCTCTGGGTGCCTTCTTTATCCTCGCCGGTTCCCTCGCCCCTATCGGCTGTCTCTTCCCATTTTTCGGCCATTAGTCGTCACGGAGAGCGGGTTTCTTCGCTTCCACGAACTTCCTCGCCACAGTCGACGTTTCCAAGGGAACTAGCACTGGACATTTCTTCCTTGAGACGGTCTGCTGAGATGCAACGAGCTGGTGCAAAGGCTGAGAATGCCTCCACCACACCAGTACCTTCGACTACAGCCTCTTCAGCCACGTACGGGGGAGAAATCCCACCGCACAGTTCATTTAACCCAGCATCCGGAACAGGAAGAGATGACGCTCTTCCACGAGTGAAGCTGGAGATTCCTGGGAGAAGTTATACCGACTTCTCGATGTCCTCTTCTCAAGGCGGGTCCAGTCATTTGGGAGAGATGTCGGATGCGTCTCAGCTAGGTCTTGATTCGAAAGACGAGCACGAGCATGACAGAGATTCTACGGTCAGCCCTTCCGATGAGAGGGGCGATACTTTAGATGGTGATGATAGTAAGTCACCATCGCTGGAAAAGAAAAAGATGAAACGATTTAGGTAAGACAAAGGTGGAAGCAGTGGCTGAGGTTTTAAGGTTATCGGTGACAGAAGCGTTGACCATCAACAGATTAACGCACAATCAAACTCGCTTTCTTATGAGTGAGTTTACTCGTCAGGCTCATCCGGATGCTGCCCACCGAGAACGTTTGTCGAGAGAAATTCCTGGCTTGACGCCACGTCAGGTCCAAGTTTGGTTCCAAAACAGGTAGTGTTTCACCATTTACCAAGATTTGGGCTTCCCTAACAATACATCACATCATAGACGAGCAAAGTTGAAGCGCCTTACTACGAATGATCGTGAGAGAATGCTCAAGTCGCGAGCACTGCCAGATGACTTCGACACAACGAAGGTTCTACGCACCCCCTTTGAGAGCAAGTCGACCGGTCAAACCCCCGTGGCATCACCCCATGACTACGGAGTCCCGAATCCAGATTTTGCAGCATTGCGAACTCTACGGACAGACTGCTTCCAACGTCCGAATGAGGAGGACTACCTTGTCTCGCCGCTTAGCTCTGCCTCCACTGCAGGTACCTACATGTCCTCTGCTGGGCAGGGGCGTACGGATGGCTTACCCCAGCCCTCTATTATGTATGGACGTCCCATGGCATCTTCATCCATGTCTGATCTACACAGAACGATTCGAAGTGATTACTCCATCACCCGGTCTAGCAGCGTGTCCGATGCGTCTTCTCAGCCCCCGTCATTTCACCCGGGGATGCAACTTCACAATAGGTTCACTCCAACCTCGAACCAGCCCGGTATGCCTTATGGTCGCCAACCAATGGAATATGGTGTCCCACGACACCCAGGTACAATGATGACAGGCTACGACCAGTCGCAATCATTTGAAGGTTCGGTTTCGCCCACTGACTCGCAGGGCAACCAAATGCCCTATGAATTGGGCAGCATCGGTTTGTCCATCTTTACCCCCAGAAAGCCAAGGCTGAAGTCTAACTCGTGGGTTACCAGGCACCCAACCCCCAAATTACCAGTCCCAACTAGCAATGTCTGGAATGAATTCGCAAATGCCACATGGGAGACCAATGCCCTCCCTGCAATCTCTACCTGTCTCAACGCCACAGGAATACAGACCTTACCCCTACGCTCATCCCTCGGGACCTATGGGCACAGTTCCCTTTACACAATCCAACTCCTCAACGCTGAGCCTCCCCACCTCCTTCGCTCCATCCGAACCCGGAGCCGCTGCCCAAGATCACATGCAGCAAAACCAGCCACATCTAGATTCCTTCCGATCCAAATTCAGCAACCAACCCTTCAACTACTCGAGCTACATCCAACAATAATGAGATGAAGTGATATACGCGGGCAGGACCACAGCTACCCACCTATTGGTATACTCTGCGAGTTTCCTCCCCATCCAGCCTGGTCTGGATAAGGTTCCCGGCAACCAATTCTTTCTCCAGTTTGTTTATTTTTTCCAACCTCTTTTCTCTTTTCTGTTTGCTCCAGTCGGCCACTAGGCATTTGATCCACATGAGCGCGTTTAATCTTAATGTTTCTTAGCCTTGTTTTATATTGTTGGTGTTGACTGTGTCGCTTCAACTCATTTGTTTTTTGTTTTGCTTTGTTTCTTCTGTCGTTTCTCTGCATCGCTTGGTTTTGGCAAAATTGTTGTTCATGGGTCCGGTGGTATAGCGTGTCATCTTCTTTTCTGTTCTGTTCTGTGGCTCTCATCTCTATCCAGGTGCCAGGTGGTTTGGGGCACTAGCATTTGGTTTCATTCGTCGATCAATGGATGAAATTTGGTTTTAATGTTAATCACTTTCTATCCGGGTTATATATACATAGTTAGGCTTACCAATGGAAGGGTGATTGAAACTTTTCAAGGAAACCTTGGAATAAATCCAAATTTCCCCGTGTCTAGGTATGGCTCAGAGACGTATAAGGTAATAATGGTTATCAAATGCCAGTGAATATATATTTCAATCCCGCTCTGGGCCGTTGGAGTCCACTTCAGGGCTAGCGGCCACCAGTACTATGCCCGGTAGAATTTCCTGCACTCTGACACATCTATCAGATATATACAAAAAAGCACAGTAACTTGAAATCATAGTAGATTGCTTCGTTTCCATAACAAATCCCAATGCGTATGGGCGGCCGATGAACCACGTGACCACCAACATCCGCCCTCAGTCGCCGCCAAAATCGGCCATTTTTATTTCAGCTACAATGCACCAGGAAAATTCTAAAAAATCTTCAAAAAAGAACAAGAGTAAACCAAGACCAGGTGAATTTGTTGTGTGAGTCAAAAGTGATAAATAGCCTACATTTATCAAGATATGATTTTGGTTTGCAGCCTTTGATTTCTTGCCGGAATTTCCATTCCCGCTTCAAAGAACAGTCAAATTGACCATCTTGTATCCACAAGTAAAGGCAGTATCCATAGCGCGGCGATGATAGCTCAGTTGGGAGAGCGCACGACTGAAGAACAACTTCAATCAGCTGTTACAGCAAATCGTGAGGTCGCTGGTTCGATCCCGGCTCGTCGCATTTTTTGGCCTTTTTTGGCTCAATTTTTGCTCCAATTTGTTGTTGTCAGTTAAAAGTTCCACTCTGGATCTGGATCTCGATATCTGCCTGCTCTTTCGTACTCCTTTTCCTCTCCATACTTCTTATTCGAAATCATTGTTTTAATTTCTGATCATACCTGGGAATGTCATATTGACCCGCTAGGTCTTCTTCTATCTATGTTTGAAGCTTGATTTCCAATGTAGGCTGTATACTTGGGTTCCAGAATAGCACTTCTCCCACTCTGAATAATCTCTTCTAACATCTCCAGGCGATCTTGACCCCACAGTGGTTCGTTCTGATAGAAATAGAAAGGTGCACCAAAGACCTTTCGCGACCCTGCCTCTTCGGTGAGGGTGGCCTCGAATTCTGCAAGCTTGCTTTCCTTCCTCGCTCTGTCCACAAGACGAATTCCTTCAAGTCCAGCCTCATCGGCAAGCAGATTAACGGTTTCTGGATTCGAAATATCGAGTTCTCTTGCCCAAACAGCCTCTAGTCCTGCGTGCACATATTTCTGCACTGATGGGTTGTCGTGTCCCAGTTCCTCGGTCGCCGCGATAAGAACGCGATGTGCAAGTGACGGGTCTGCGGGGTAATATTTCGGATTTAGAACGAGTTCAATGTCACGAATACGCTTCCAGCGTTCCATCTCAATCAGACGATAGGCCTGTCTTTGCTCTGCACGCTGTTTTACAGGAAGACCACCAGAAATTGAAAAAGTATGCAGCAAGTTGATCGGTTTATAAATGACTTTAGATTCGGTTTGCTTGAGTAATTGGTGAAATCGGCGACTCCCGATATATGACCATAGTGAGACAAATGAGAAGTACAATTCCACTGTGCGGTTACTAGTCATATTGATTCGAACTCCAAGGAGAGGTTTGTGTTGTGTTTATGAAGTGCGTTGCGGGGGTTTCCCGGCATCTTTAAAATGAGCGAACGGGAGAGATCTGCTTGACTCCGAATTGGGCAAGGCTGTGTCAAGCAATCATGTTATTGGTCCTATCTTTCAAACCCTATTTCTTTCAGCATTTGGTTTTTAATTTTGTTGCGAATTTTATGTCCCTTTTTGGCACGATTCTTTGAATGTTGAAATATTATGCCATCGATGTTGGGAATGGCGAATATAACACCATCAGAACTCTTGAATATCATCCGATAAGCATGAACTACTTGTAATTTGGTCGTTTTCTACAAAGTCGTCATACCCCCCCCCCGGGCCTGTATTTGAATAGCGACGTCAATGAATTATCCAAGCCAGAAGTTCTTACTCGAAACAAAGTATTCTTTTCTTAATCAAACGTAATTCGCTATGGAAGATTATTTCAATGTCATAAATCAACTTTCATCTATTTTCCGAAAACCTTGAATCGGTTCTCGATAGGCTCGAATGCCTTCTCGCCTGGCTCAGAGGTAGGTGTACCGAAAACAAGCTGGGCATCCAATTTCCATGAAGCAGGCAGATCCCAAGTCTTAGCAATCTGCTCGTCAATTAGGGGGCTGTAATGTTGGAGGTTGGCTCCGAAGCCCTCAGACTCTAGTGCAAGCCAAACTAAAAAAAAAGTAGAACCTGATCAGCATTGTTATAATGACCACCCATGATAACAAACACTCACCAAAATACTGGGACATGGCATTGGACTCCAACGCAAAGGGGTCGAACTTGTCTGCGTAAATGGCAAACTTCTCCTTGATGGGGGCAAGTGACTCGTAGTCCACAAAGAAAAGAACCTGGTTCGAGTTAGCAATCTCGAAATTAATTGTCCCTCTCACCAAATATACATACAGTTCCATATGCCGCGCGGAAGGACTCAAGCTTGGGCTTGGTAGAGCTCTCAAAGGACTCCTTGGGAACGTGGCCAGCAGCGACCAGTCCTTCAATTGCCTTGATCGCAATGTCCCACACCTTTTTGTGCTCCTCCTTCAAGAGCAGAACAACACGAGAAGTCTGGGTGTTAAAGGAGCTGGGAACATGGAGAACAGAATCCTGAACAATTCGCTCAACGGCATCATCAGAGATAGGGCTTTCAGCCTTCAGGCCATAGTAGGTGCGGCGACCCTTGACCAACTCCAGCAGAGTAGAGGTGGCAGAGTTCTTGAATTCAATAGCAGTGGAGCCCATTTTGAAGGTAGTGAAAACGGTTTGATGTGTATTCTAAGTTGTAAAAAGCACAAAACCGCTAGCTGGCAATCGCACAATTTATATCAATTGTGAATTTGGTGCTTCTATCTTTGTACGCGTCTTGCAACACTCCCCTTTCCCCCCACTATGCGATTGTTCCGTGGGCTTCAGAAAGGGACGGCCAGCATAGAACCAATAAAATTTGTGGTTCCTTCGCAATAGTCCCCGCCGCATGAAAAATCCCAATGGCTTTTGACCAATCGCGTATGCGCATGATGGCGGGTGGTCGGAGTTTCCAATCTCCGAGAATTTTGTAAGCGGCACCCGTAGCCTAAATTCCGCACTGATTATGAATCACTCAGAATAATTATGCAAGCCTGACCAAGCAAAAAAGGCATAATGTGTAGAGCACAGCAAGGGAAAATTGTGGTTGTTTCTAAGCATTCAATTAATCATTTTCTATCTAGTACTATATCTTTCTCATACAGTAGAATTCGAAAACAGATTACCCTTTAGACACTCACGCTTTCTTTCCCACCGCCCCATCAAGGCTGAGCTAAACCTAATTCGGCGAGACCAATCCCTCCACTACTTGCTGGAAGGCTTTGTCCTGTAGCCATATACTAGCATTAAAAAACATCTTACCCCCAGACATTTATATGTTTCTCAGCCTATGCCCCAGTATCCGCCTATCCCTGGGCCAAAACTTTCTTCAGGGGCGATGTTTGAAGTACTTTCTTATTAATCAGTCTGATTTCGGGCACAGGCTGAGAAAACAAACATGAAACATGCGTATTTCGGGGACCTGGGGTGATCTAATTTCGGAGTTTATGGTTTTCTGATAGACTAGCTCACTGCTTCAAGTTCTGTCAGAGCGCTCTCGTCCGCGGTCTGTTCATTCCTGCGCCGACGACGACTACTACGCCCAAGGGGTTGGCCACGGGCTCGATGCAGAGCCAGCTCTCGTGTTGTGGCCGTAAAGTCTCTCTGATGAAAAGCTTCTTTGATCTTCTCGCAGGTACTATGCAGAATGCATTCGGCAAGGGGCTTACGCTCGAGGCGCACATTTATATCGGCATGTCGATCCACTAGTAGCTGGAATTCTGCGGGCTTATCGAGAGCGACAGCGTCAAACAACGCTAAGCTGGACTGTCCGGCATCTGCCCCGGATTTGACCAAGACTTTGATCAGGTCCAAGCTTTCCTCTCGGAGCATAGCTAGCCTAAGCGGTGTACTTGATGGCCACCTCCAGCCACCTGACCGAGTCCTTTTAGGAGGCAAGGTAATGTTCGGATCTGCACCTAGATCTAGCAAAAGCTTAACAGTTCTTAATGGCCGCGGCGCCAATGACAGAGCGCCACAAAGCGGCGTACACTTCTCATCCTTGAATTGGTAGTTAATATCAGCCCCCTTTGACAGAAGAGAGCGTACGCGCTTTTCGTTTCCTTCTTTTGCCGCATATAGAAGCATCCACTGAATATCGACTTTGATGGTATAGTTCAAATGCACTGGAGAATAGTTGACAAGCTCCTGGAGTAGATAATCGGCAATTACATGATGGCCTTGAGAAGCAGCATTTGCAATTGGACGTCGATGATATCGGTCGTATGAAAGCTGGCATGCGCCAAGGGATATGAGCATCTGGACCAAGGCAAAATGACCCTGTCGAGCTGCCAAGGAAAGAGGGCTTCGTCCGTTGAGGTCTTTGAAGTTGATGTTGACACCGTATTCAATGAGCTTCCGCACAAAGTTTGCATGGCCATTTTTCGCTGCATGACATATAGGATGGTCTGTCCATGTATCTGCCGCCAGTGTGGAACGCGGTCGGCTGCTTCCAGGAAGTGATCTCTTCGTAAAAGCCCAATAGCTAGATTCCAAATCCAGGCCCGCTCCTACAGCGAGAAACCATTGAAGTGTGCTGACAGAGCCTACTTTTGCTGCCCAGACTAGTCCGGAGAAACCGTTGCGCCCTACATTCCAATAGTAGAGGTAGCGGTTGAGTCGACGGTAGAGCGAAAGATTGGTCTGGATCAGCGCATTCAAGTCTTTGCATTCAAGCTGGTACGCGATGAGCATAAGGAGCTCATTGGGAAGGAGCAAAATCGACATGGGTCAAGGGAGAGGATGGATTTGAGGAGAAAACTTTTTCCAAAGCCGGAAGCCCAGTTTTTTGGGTGGTTTTAAGACACGCTGCTCAACACTTTTAGGTGCTCCATTCTTATGGGCACACACTTGCCATGTTGAAAATCTGTTCTAACCGGCCAATCATCAACCCTTACTAGTGTGAAAAGAATTACAAACTGGAATTACCACATATGTCGCTTGCAACTCCTGGAGTATGGCCATAGGCGTATCCGTATATATGATCTGCCGAGTGCCGGAAACTGTAATTACGGTAATATTGATGGTATACCAGAAGTACATGAAGGTAGGATAGTGGGGACTTCTAGTAGCCAATTCGATTTAGCGCGGTCTAGGTGGGGCGCTGGGAAAGGAAGCGTGAGTGTCTAAAGGGTAATCTGTTTTCGAATGCTACTATAGCCGTAGATTATATCGTTTAGCAATCTTGAGGGAACAAAAATAACTATTGGACGAATTGATACCCAAAAGAGAAGAAAGGGCCTAAGAAACCACTGCGCTTCTAAGGAGAAATAAAGGGCAAATGATAAATACCTAGCTCAGGTGAATGGAATCCAGGATTTAGCGTCACGTCGCAAGATAGAATAAGAGAAAATACTATTCACTCTCCATCAACCGGAGTTGATTTTTCAATTCGGGAGGAAAGAGGAGATTGAAGGGAGAATCAGATCTTGCTCTTCTATCTGTTCCTGCTGTCGTCGTTGGAGATCTTCAAGACAAGCCTGGCCCTTTTTCGACTGTTGTTGGTGGGCTTTCAGGGTCTCTGATCGGGCAAAGGCTTTATCACATCCCCCGCAAACCCACTTCTTTTCCCCAGTATGAGATTTCATATGACGATTGAAATCACTCTTTCGAACGAAGGATTTGTGGCAATATTCGCAGGGGAACCTCAGATTATTCTGATGCACTAAGAGATGAGACTTGAGATTATAAAGTCTTGTAAATTCTTTACCGCAGTATTGGCATTTGAGGTCGTCCTTGCTGTGTCTTTTAGGGGCTGGGCGAGGTCGGATCTCGGGCTCGGAAGCGGCAGGAGAGGATTCATCTCCATCGGATACGACTGTTGCATTTCCTTGAGGCGCCGTATTATCTCTAGTAGTCGTGTCGGTGGTTTGTTTTGTGACTTGTGCCTGAGGCTCCGTATTCTTAGAACGAATGCTTAATTGTATTTCTTTGTCGGTGGGAAACTCGTGGTCTCGTTGAGAGCGATCCGGATGATAGTCCTTCATATGTCTCTTGTATTGAGCCAGAGATGCAAAGCCAATATCAAAGCCCTTCTCGCACTTTTCATCATTGCACCTATGTGGTCTCTCGTGTCTTGCGACATGAATTTCTCGCTCATCTGGTGTCGGAAATCCAAGGGTGAATGAGCGACAGCTGAAGCGAGCGCATCGAAAAGGACCTTGACCATATCTGTCCACCATATCCTTGGGTGGGCCTGAGCCCTGAGACATCGAGAATGAATCTTCAATCACTGCACGGACCTGTTTGATAACTTCCATTATATCTGTTGAAAGTTCTTCCTTTTTAATGGGACCAAAAGAATGTAACTGCTTTCGGGTCGATACGAAGACTTGCTGTAACTCTTCGTGGAAGTCCAGGGACTCGAATACCTGGAGATTTCTTTTGTTTCGGTCGGAAACTGCGAGATAGGATTTTGGCGATATCCAGTGATGCTCAATGAAGACGCCGAGTGATTCGGCAAGTGGAGACATAATGCGGGAGTATTCATCTTCCTGTAAATTTGGATGGGAAAGAGGAGCTTCGCTGTCATCACTGTCTTCGGGTTGCTGGATTTCTTGCAGTTTTGTCCTCGCAATTCTTCGTTTCGCTTCCGCAATTGCCCCTTCCAGATGCCGAATCCAATAGAGAGCAGCGTACTCCATGAAACCATAGTCTCCCCGAAGGGCGGCGTCGCTAGAGATTGAGCCCACGAATATGGGGAGATTCAGATAGTCGATGCAAAGTGACGCCATTCGGATGTCCCCATGCAGTGGATCCACAATTCCCTCGTCCACGAGGAAGCTGTTTGCTATGGTTAGTGACCATTGAGTCATGCTTGTATAGAAAAGGATATCGTACTGCTTTGCTGTTAAATGTATCAACTCGACGGTTCCATCTTCCGAAACATTGACCAAAGGCCCACAAAGGTCCTTTGCATCAACATGGAACCTTTGCCTTTCAAAGTCGATTGATTGCTCTCGACGGTCAATTGACTTGAGTACTTGAATTTCTCGCCATTCAAGCGGTCTCCTCGCCAATGTGAGCCACTGAAGCACCATTTTGACATCCCTAGGTATGCCTTTTTCTCTGTTGCTATCGCGAACTTTCATTTGAGACAGTATACGCCGATACCTATTATTTGATTAGAATGCTTGACGTAGAAATATCGCGAAACACTTACGCATCGTCAAGCTTTTTCGGGTATACAGTTGGCTCCAGTTCTCTTTCCATGCCGGCAATCGTAGTTTGTTGAGATAAATTGTTCCACACCAATTTCGGTAACAGAAACATGCCTAATATCCTTGTCAGCGTGCTAGAATAATTATGGGCTCAAGTTGTCCATAAGTACTAACCTGCCGCCCTCTGAGAAACTGCCGAAGCTATATCATCTGCTTTGTCGCTTGTAAGCTGAAACTTGATTCTTAAAAGGTCCGCTTGTCGCTGGCAGAAAGTTTCCAAGTCTTTCGCAATGTCGCTAGAATCAACTGTGACTGTCTCTATGTCTTCGAAATCCTTTCTCCCGTGACCGTCATCCCGACTAGTAAAGAGACACCGTAGTTTCCGAGGTTCTTTATGAGGAGGATTCTCGACTCGTTCTCGAAACCACATCGAGATCTCTTTTCGGTCTTCTCGTTTGCATTCATCTAGGCCATCAAGCACAATATAAGCACTTTTGCAATGCGTGAGAGCGATATCCAGTAGTTTTTGAATTTTCTCTGGGGTTTGGAGAATCGGTTCCTTGCTCGTGCAGCACTCCTGGTCGAAGTAAGGGAGTAGATGTCTCTCTTGCTCCAACAACTGAGCCAAAAGACCTCTCGCAATTGCAGGGAAAGTACTGAATTCAGGGTTGTCGTGTTTGCAGTAGAAAAAAAGAACAGTAGGTTTTCGTTTGAGCTTACCGATCTCCTCTACCACCAGGGACGCAAGCACTGTTTTGCCTATTTTCTCCGGGTTAGCTCATTTTTCTGAAAGTAAAGGGTTTGGAAGATAATTTTCACCAGATCCAGGAATTCCCTTAAGCCAAAGTAGGGGGGGGAATCTTCGCATAGTCTGGATGAATCCATTCTTTGAAGGTTTTGCTTTCAAGCAGCCACGCCCCGGTGTTAGGGTATTCATTTCGTATCTTGAGCAAATTCCCATGCTCGATATCAGTGTTAGGAGCTCGAAGCCACTCAAATACTCTTCGGCATTGTTTTTGCTCTTCAAGTTGAATTTGTCTCTCTTGCTCGCTCTCTGCAATCTGGCGAACTTCCTCAAAGGCGTCCAATTGTGCAGCGTGGTGATCATCCGCAGTCCTTCGTGCATCGTCGAAAGCCTGTAAATGTGCATCATGGTGATCGGCCTCTACCTGTCGTGAATCTCCAAAGGCTTGCTCATGAATAAGTCTTGCCTTGCTCTCAATCAATCCTCGGTTTCTCACAATACTTGCAATGATATGCTTGAAATTGGTTTGCTGGCCCTTCCACGTAGACTTAAAGAACTGCTTAAATACTGAATATCATCATGAGCCTGATTTTCCATCTGAGAGGATGAAAATCTAACTCACGCCCTTGATTGTAATATTTTATCGCTATGCGGTGGAACTTCAAAATATCCTCATATATGACGGATAGAATTCGAACCATGAAAGGTTCGTTATTGAAGACTTCCTGGTACTGCTGAAGAAGGGGAAGATTTTGACCAATCTCCTTATAGACATCTAGTAGCCCGTTGAATACATCTTCAAATTTTTCAAATGACTTGACCGCGCGTTAGCTTTGCTTCAAAGTGTCCTAAGTGATCTGGAAAGTCATACCAGCAAAACAAACTTGATCGGGCCCTAAGAAAAATGAGATAATTATCTTTGGAAATGAATCCCGTGGATACTTACCCACACAAAGGCCACAAATTCACTGCTGTTACAAAACACCTCTACAACCTGACCCCATTGCTTCATCGCTTCCAGAAACGGACTTAGTCTCTCGAGGTTTCGTGCCTGGCGTTTGACAGTTTGTCTTTCCTGTAAATCCCCGATACTTTTCTCGAGTTCATCAAAGCTGGTGACATTGGTGAAATAGTCTTTTTCCTTTTTGCTCAAGTCCTTTTTGAACCTATCAAGGACGTCCTGGAATGTGGGGTTGTGAAGGGCCTTTTGTGTCATTTTGTCAGGTCGAATGCTTTGGCCGGGGGCGTTTCGGAGAGGTATCGAGTCACTTCGTCGACTTTCAGCAACTCAAAAGCGGCCGAGCCTGGGATTGAGCTTGTAATGTATTCTAATCGGCTCTCAAACTGGGCGGTTTTGGCCAGACGCAGTGAGGCTCTGCAAGACGCACAGCCTCCCTCACCCCCTCTCGCCGGTCGCTGCCTGACCGGAGCCTCACTTTATCGTGGCCCAATGAATATGCAATAGATGCAATTTCGCCCACTATATTAACGGCGACTGAGCCGTTGAACTATAGGAATGCCCAGGCGAAGTTGCTTGTTTCTTTGATTGGGTGGAAAGTCTGGTCAACCTCGAACGTAATCGGCTGGCTGAGCCCGTGTCAGACGAGGAGGCAACCAGTGCGCCTCGCCTTGGCTCTAATTCCTGTTTATTTTCTCACATACGACGCAACACAGATGGACTCTAGTTCTGCGATTCTTCGGCCTCATCAAACCTTCTTTCTCTTATCAGAATAATTACCATGGATGAAATTCGCAAGCGAAAGTTGCCCTTCATCGGGGATGATGGTCAACAGCGCTATCCGTCTTCAACCCCACTACCAGAAGAGATCGACAAGGACGATGAGATCTGTTTTGGATCTGTAAGTGAGCGCTGAGGCTCATTTATCCATATCTAGAGTCTAGCCGTACTAAAAAGTTGTGCAGATTATCGATGTTAAAACTCAGTTATGTGGTTCAGATGGGTTGTCTGATTTTCCCATAGCCCCGGAACTTGAAGAGCAACCATTTGATCTTCTACGTGAAGGAGACTTCTTTTCACTCACAAATGGCCAATCAAAGATTTCTCTCCTAGATAAGAAGAAAAGCAGTGACCTTTCTGAACTCACAGAAGCTTTTGAAGTTCGGCTTCAGGCCTTCACTTCAACCAGCCATATTCTTGACATTATCCATTTTTTGGAAGAAGGCACTAGGGGAAGCCCTGAAAAGTCATTATCAGTTGAGATCAATATATATGGTTCTGAGAGAGATGCGAAAGAAGTGGGAATTCTTCTCGGCAACACCCAGAATTTTCTACAGCCTCCTCGCTATGGAGTCGAGAAGATGACATACAAGAACCCTCAAATTCTTTCAATAGCTGGCTTTTCAGATGAAACCCGCATCCCTCCTATTTTTATTTACGAGAATGATGGAGATAACTCATCCCATGACGATGAACAAACTGTGTCACAGGATGATGATGTTGATAACGTTGATGACTTTTTGGACACTGGATTAAGGCACGAGTCAAGAGCTAACATATCAGTCGATCGCCGTATTCAAACTGAACTTCGCGAGTGAGTTGAGATTTGATATCGTCAACGAATTTCTGTTTCTAACACTCTATTCAAGGCACCAAAAAGAAGCAGTTGACTTTATTTCTCGCCGAGAGCGGGGAGAAATGCCTGAAGAGCAGAGTCTTTGGAAATACAATGATGAGGATGAGGATGAGCCATTGTGAGTTTTTTTTCTCTAGCTATAACTCTTCGGGGTATTCATTGGAAACTTTGTAGCTATCAACATGTCTTGAATGGAGAAAGGAAAAGTCAGCCCAGTCATGCTCGAGGTGGGATCCTTGCCGACGAGATGGGTCTGGGTAAGACCTTGGTAATATTGTCAGTCATAGCCGGGACACTTGCTCTCGCAAAGGAATTCGAAGGACTCGACATAGAAGAATCTCAGCCACAGATCGAGCCGCAGATCCAGCCACAACCAAAATTGAACTCGCAAGCGACCCTCATTTTGGTTCCGTCCACTCGTACGCTACTCTCGCCCATTCCTAAGACAGTCTATCTAACAATAAAATGCAGTTATTATAGATAACTGGGTTAAGGAAATTCGAAAGTGAGAGCGACAATCTTGGTGGATTTGACTAAAGCTAACGGCTATCAGGCATTCCTTTCCGTCAAGCTTAGTCTTTCATAAGCATATTGGGCAGGACAGATATTTAGAGAAGGAATTCCTTCGCAAAAGGGCTATTGTATTCACAACATACGCGACTCTTGCAACTGAGGTCCGTCGTGAGGCCAGCTTTTTGTCAAATATCAATTGGTTTCGAATTGTTCTTGATGAAGGTACATCTCCACCGATGAAATCGCGACCTTTTTCACTATGCTAATCATATTGGAAAAAACAAGCCCACTATATCAGAAACCGGGCAACAAAGCAGTTTCTTGCTGTTACAAGGTTATCCGCCCAGAACCGATGGTGTCTCACCGGAACGCCTATCCAGAATGATATCGAAGATTTGGGAGCACTCATCGCTTTTCTCAAAGTCCCAGTACTAGAAAGACCCTCTACATTCCGCAAGCTGATTTCACACCCAATCTCATCTAATGCGAGGTATCGTTTCAAGAATATGCAAACTCTTCTTCATGCAGTCTGTATCAGACGAACCAGAGGCCTTTTGGAAATCCCCGAGCCTATCATCCAAGTGAAACAATTGCCAATGTCACAGTTAGAAAGATCTCAGTACCGCGAGCTCCTTCATGATTGCAAAATGAAAATTGACATGGCGGTCAGTGGTATTAGTCGCCAGCAGAAGGGGAGACCTAACTCGACTGTTCTGGAATCCCTGCTTGCACTTCGCCTCTTTTGCAACAACGGCAAAGCGATAACTAACATGCCCGTGGATTTGGATGAAGCTTTCTCTCTTCTTCAGCAAGCAGGAGATGATATATGTGCTTACTGTGACAGAAGGGTCCATGGTCTGAGCGGCTCTCCCGAAGCCACTGGGCTTGATGAAGCTGTGATTATTCCCAACTGTGGACATCTAGTTTGTCAAGCCTGTTTACCCGATTACTTGGAGAAGAAGGACAAATGCCCTGCTTGTGTACTTCACTCAACTTCTTCCAATGCCCAGAGTAAGACATTGCGTCAGGCGGCGCAACAGGAGACCCCAACTAGACAGAACTCCGGTACCTTTTCCGAAAGATATCCCACAAAGCTGCGCGCTCTTCTGGATGACATTATTCAAAATCGGTCTCAAAGATGGTATATACACACTGAAGCTAGGATTCCAACTTCGCCAACATTTATTCTGACGCTTTGTAATTTTTAGTATTGTTTTTTCAAGCTGGAGGAAATCCCTCGCCATCATCTCGGAACTCCTTTCAAGCCACCACATAGCTTTCAGCATGATAGATGGATCGCTTCCACTACCAAAACGACAACAGGCCCTGGCAGCTTACGAGGGCACAAATGATACAAATGTTCTTCTGATGACTCTTGGAACCGGTGCCGTAGGACTTGACCTTGTGTCATCATCTTGTATCTATCTGCTTGAACCACAATGGAATCCCTCCATCGAAGAGCAGGCAATTGGAAGGGCGTTACGACTTGGTCAGGTCTCACAAGTCAGGATCGTGCGATACATCATGGAAGGCACCGTCGAAGAGGTTTGAGATTCCCTTTCCAATAAAAGATCGAATGACGGGTTCTAATTCCAGCAGAGCAATGTCCTATCCCGTCAGCGCAAAAAGCGTCAGCTCGCAGGTGGTGGATTTAAGAAGCGAAACCAGGAAGATCTCGAATTATTAAAGGTAATGTTTCCTGCTGCAAATTCAAAGGCCAGGCAGGTTCTAACTTCTACAGGAACACGTCAATAAGGAGACCGAGTTGGACTATCACAACGCTGACTATGACATGATCATCGACGGGTAAGACATGTCTAATTGATAGTGTGGAATAATCAGAGAAACAATTCATGTGATGGTACAATCTTGCAAAATATATTTCGAAAATATTTGAAATCAAAGGCCCCCATGTTAATTTTCCCTGGTATCCAACTCCGTTCCGCCCCAGCCTGTCAAGTAGCCTAACAAAATCAAAGTCGAGGTGCCAACCGAGACACTTCGTGCTCATAAGGGAGACGTCTGTAGAGTATTGAATACACCATTGAACCAGGCATCAAAGTCAATTTCTTCTTGGTTCCACGCTAAGGCCATTTCATCCGCATCAAATCCAGCAGACCCGGAGCCTTCAGGCGTGTTTCCGAGTAACTTGGTAATAGACATATCATCAGCATCAGCATTCGGATTCATCTTGCTAAGAGTCGAGAAATTGGCGAAAATCCGATTAAAATCGATCGGCATGCCCGGTTTCAACTCTATAGTGCCAAAACTTGAGGTCGAGCCTTCAGAAATGAAAATTGCATCGACAAGGGCAACGCCCCGTTGGGCAAGAACATCCGAATGCCGTTGAGCGAGACGATCACGCGCGGTTAGAACGGCGTCTCTGTATAGCTCTCTCTTTGCGTTATCTGCGTCCTCTGTAATCGAGTTCACCTCGAAGCATAGAATCACGGCCGCCGTGATGGCAAAAGCACTGTGTGTCCATATAGAAAGATCGTCTTCTTCGACGATTGTTTCGTGTTCGCGTAATATAGTCATTGCTGCAGCAACACATGTGCGCCTTGTGTGGGTGTATCTTGAATCATGAAATGAGTGGAACAGGAAAGGTCGATGAACCATGATGATCTTTTCTGCTGCGGTGATCGCTAGACTTCGTCGGGCAATTCTTAACCAAGGAATTTGGGCCTCTTTGGGCTTGTCCGGTCGCAGTAAGAAGGACGGTATGTTTTGAACGATTGTTCGCATTTGCTGATCAACTTGGAGGATGCGTTCGTATTGTTCTCGAGTGGTCTTTCTCTTATTCATTGGACCAAGTCCATCGCATAGATCGGGCATCAGTGCGGCAAGATTGACAAGGACACGGACGTATGTACTGATTGTTGGGGTAGTAGCCGGCATTTCTACCAGATTGTAGTCATCCGCGTTCATAGGTCGATTCGTCGAATAATGCATGGGGGATATGCTATACGTGTCAGTGAAGGGAATGGCGAAATGATCTTGAATAATCATTTGGCACCAGACTCTCCTGCCGACTTCTCGTTCAATCCGCTCTTCCCACTGATCTCTGTGATCTCTATTTTGAGACCCTACTGTCGGGTGGTCCTTGATTTTGTGAAGCCCCAGGCACTCGGCGATTCGCACTGCCGCATTGAATAAGGTCGCGTTGAGTTGACTCAGGCCCAGGTTATGTGCAACCTCCGTCGAGATGACCACGGCTTGAACGGAGTAGATCGAAATATTGTTCAAAAAGTGTGAGCTATACATAGTCTGCACCATGGCGGAGAACAGCTGTTGGGTAGATTGCATCGCATCTAGATTTACGTCGACCTGCGACCGTAACTTATGGCTATTCTGGATGGAATTGATGGTGCAGCTCAGGACTGCAAAGTAAAGAGCCACCCAGAGAGGATGATCGCATCTTCCACTCGTCCAAAAGACCTCACACTGTTGGAGAAATGTCGGGCCATGGAAACAATTGTGATGCCATGCAAGGTGATAGACATGAAACTTGATAAGCTTTTGGGCCTCAGTAGTTCTTGGGAAATCCACCATCGACTCCAGCGCCGAGCCGAAGATTTGAAATGATGCGCTGTTCGTTGATAGGAACTCCGGACTATCTCTGCGATACTGGCAAGCGCATCTCCGGTGGGGATAGCATCCAGCGGAGTTTCTGCCCCAGGCGAGATGCTCAATCGCTGTGACGAGCGGTGGGTCTGTATTGTCCGAAGGAGCTTCTGCAAATCGATGCCGAATTTGTTTCCCATCGGCGGATTCTGACAATTGTAAAGAGTCGGACGCCGAAGCCAGATCGACTTGGTCGAATTGCTCAGTCTGGTTTCTTGGTATTGCACTATCGCCTGTCTGGAGAAGCGTGACCCTGTTTCTCAGTTTTTGGGTGATTTCCGGCAGTTTCTCCGTTGAAAAGGAATCCAAATCCCCCAGGATCGTTTCCAGAAATTGGATCTCAGAGGCATGCTGTACAACATCACGTCGCAGGCGAACGGTTTCGACTGAACAGTTCAAATTCAAACGCCGGCAACGCGAACAGGGGGACTGCTTATCGCATTTTCGCTTCCGCCTGGTACATTCTGGGACCTGTCAATGTCTGCCCGGTCGCACCATGGCTCATGGAGCGCGGGGGGAAAAGATGAAACATACCTTGACATGCCAACGGTCGACGCTGAGAAAGCCGCGGGGCTGATGAAGATTCGCCAGCCCTGGGCATTGTGAGGGTCGCGAGATCGCGAGACAATGATGTGAGGGAGAGGAGGGCGGAGGAGATCGGAAGACTCGCCCGCGGAAGCAGAAAAAGATCCGATGACCAAGTCATCCACCATGATTGGTCGCCCGTTGAAGAGAGATAGTCTAGACCATCAAGGCAGGTACAATATAATCCGGTAGGTCCTTCAACAGGTCTTGATAAGGGTTACCCTGTGCGTCCTAGGTGAGTCTGGGGTATTCAACACGTGCCAGAAAGGAGCAGGGTCAGGTGACACGCGTCATTCGAGGTGCTGTAAGAAGTCATAGCGATAAAGTGATATAGTAGATAGTTAATAATAGCTAGATTAGCTCGAAAATTACAAATATTTAAGCGGATGACTGGGTCTATCGAGATAGCCAACGATTATCTTACACAGAGTGCCAAGAACTATACCTTACTATATTCGAGCCACACTCTAGATGGCCGTCTGATCAAGGCACCAAGGCACAAAGGCACCAAGGCAACGGAAGTAACCACCAGGGTGCTTTACAATTAGTATCTTGGGTAATTCCAGGAAAGAAAAAAAACCTCCCCAAATAACCCAGTTTACCTTTAGTTTCTACTGGATATTGTGCATATGCTTTGTAACAGCCTAAGTAGTGGTTGATATGGTACAGTTCTCAGCTCAATAGACATAGACTAACCAAAAAGGCCATTTGTATCCTCCAAAGTCCGACCAGCAGTCTCCGGTAGCAGAATCCACGCCCATAATAGACCGAAAAATGTCATTATAGAAAAGAACCAAAAGGTCCCTTCAGACTGTAGGGAGTTTTGCAATAAAATGGACGGAACAGCCTAGATGGGTCAGTGGTCGCAAGAAAATGGTCCAGGATAGTAACATACCTTGGACAGTCCGTAGCGATTGACATAATGGAAACACATCAAAAGGCTCGAGCCAGTCGCGCGAACTCGCAAAGGAAATATCTCAGCGTTTAGCAAATACTGAATCGAATTCCAACCCATAGCCCACCCGATACCTACAAAGTAGATGAAGACAATGGCACCGAGGGCTGCTCTTTTGCTCGAAGGGGATTCATCGCCAGCCAAGGATGCGTTAACAGTAAGAAATATTGCAATGTACAGCATGGCCACTTGTTGTACTACAATTCCCGAGATCAAAGACCGTTTCCGGCCAATGTGGTCGATGAGTAAGATAGCACAGAAAAGAGATGCCACAAATTTGACGGCACCGAAGATCGCTGTTGTGAATAGCTTTTCGGATTGACCATTGATTCCAAACAAGGAGAATAACTCGGGCGCATATGCTTCGATCATATTAGCATCCCAGGCCTTTATCGGAGCTGGTTGAGGATGTGTATACTTGTGAGAGAATTGGCCCCAGACCATTGACTAAGAATCTGGGAAGATATCACGAACAATAATCTCCTGAGATTAGATCGAGAAAGGAAAAGTTCCTTCAGAGATCCAATACATGATCTGTATAAAGAGCGCTCTTGTTCATGCTCCAATTGTCCTTTGATCCCTTCCAGTTCCGCTGAAACTTCATTATGGTCATCTGGCAGGCCCCATATTTTCCCCAAAGCCCTGCCTGCTTCATCCCATTTACCTAGTCGACATAGATGCCGAGGACTCTCTTCACAAAGAAAAGAACCCATAATCAGAAGACCCGCTACAATTATTTGTATCGACTGCGGGATAATCCACTGCCGAGAAGAATTGCTCGACAAATGCACCGCTGCTCCCCATGCTGCGAAGTACTAGAGAAAAAATACCGCCAGGTTAGCCGATTTACTGTCTCAGTAGTATCACGACAGTCACAGGATACTCACTCCAACCATAATTCCAATATATTCCGACATGCCAAACACAGACACCAGCATACCGCGTGCGCTACGGGGCGCAATTTCTGCAAGATAGGTCGGCGCCACAACCCCAGCTTGTCCAATTCCAAGTCCCATTATAAAACGACCAGCGTATATTTGACCCAGTTTCCCACTAGCAGTGATGACGATAATAATGCCCGCCATCCACAGCGTACAGAGCTGACGCATGGACCACAGCATTCCCATACGCTCGCAAAGAAGGAAAGCGATCAGCGCGCCGGGAATGCTGCCAATGTGAACCATTGAGGTGATATTCGAGAGGCGATTCGCTTGCTGGGATGCATCGGGGGGATTTGGCTTGCAGACCAAACTCATTGATAAAGGAATTTTGAGCAACGGATGTGGAAATGAGGCCCTCGTCGAGGCCTGTTGTTTCAAGTTATTTTTCAACCATTTGAACACGCGTTTTCGGGCGATTAACGTACCTCTTGACATCCCTGATAATCCGAAGCAAAGAGCAGCACATATTAGCCTGAATGTGAAATGCTTGAATATCGAGTAAAAAGGTGCCGTCGTCTTCATTGTGTTGGATCAAGGCGAAGAGAAGGGTTGCAAACAGCTTCTCCGTCTGGCCACGGCCTAGGAGGGCTCGAGATGATTACCGTAGGTGTCATGGAAGAGAGCGCTCGTAATAATCTGCTCGGTTCATTTATTTTCATCATTCTGGGGCTTAATAGGGGTCAGACAAGCGTAATAAGCTAGGTATTACTGGCAAAGAAGGGAAGCCACCCCACTTAGCCCTACAGGGCTGAAGGAAATAAGCCTTCAATCGGACCAATCCAAGGCATGCGGTGGGAAACTAGAATGCTCTAAAAATGGGGCCATCAGTCAATTGCACCATACAGAGTACTCCGTACATCTTTGGAGAAAGGACAGAATTGTGTTGCCTGTGGGCGGGTGACGATGCTGGAATCGGATCCACACTGATACCAATTTCTTCATCCTAAGACTGGCTGGGATATTTTCACAATCTGCTTCTAAACAAGATATTTGGCTATATGGGGTTTGCGGAATTAATTCATACGGTGCTTCTTTTTCCTTCAAAAATCCTCAAAGTCAGTGTGTATCGTTCATGATCCTCTGTGTTGAGAAAAAGTTGCTCGATACCTCGTGCTATTTAGTATACGATAATCGCAATTCAGGATAAAATGCGAGCACGATTAATATTGGACGATCTTTGTACAGTCCAGAATTCGGAAGAGGGTTCTATAGAATTCATATATCCATTTTACCTTGGGACCGACTGGCCTCCTTGTCGACCCTTAGACGGTCGGGTCGGGGGTTTATCCACCACCGGTCCATTATAACCTTGAAAGGGCCCGGGGATAACGTTATCCGTCCCACGCCGGGGTACGAATCTGGCTTTACGAAACTGGCTTCTCTGTGGGGTTGAATATCTCGGAATAAAATTTTATGTCACAAAGGCTCTCCAAAATTTATCGCGTGTCGCTCGCTGGGCAGTCGCTATTTACCAATTGGTATTACTGGTTGATATTTCTACTCCGTACATTCTCGGCCAATGTCTTTGACCGCCACCCTTAAGTACTAGTAACCGCTAGTTAGTGGCTCCGGGAAAAGCCTAGTACCTAATGCTTATCTACTCAGGCACTGAAAACTAAACCGCGAAGACTAATTCATCTGCAATAGTGAAATGCTTTTTAGACAGTAGGATGGTGTTGTAGGCAGGGTTCCTGGCCAGGGTGAACTGGGCTCCAATCTCCAATGTGGAACTGGCTCTATGTACAACAGTAAAACAGGGACCTGGGATCCATGACGACACTCTAGGCCACCGAGACCGAAGAGTTCCAAAATTAGTATTACTGGGGAAAGCTCCCACAAAGTAACCAGTGCGGACGCCGAGTCCAATCAAGGGAACTCTAGGGATCTCGTCGGCGATTTCCTCAGATCTTACCCCAAGATGAAGCTCGGACACAAGTGTGAATGATCGGGCGAGCCCCAACCTTGTCTCCTGTCACTGCCCAATTTTGACAAAAGGGAGAGAAACCCCACTCCGTAATAGCCCGTAGGCTGCGGTTAAAACTCCGCCTTAGCCAAACCCCATAGACCAAAGGGAGGGGAGGGATAGGGGAGGTATCGGGGGAACGCGGGGCATCTTACAGCATCATTCCTCTAGGGGAAATCCCACGCGTGGTTCAGGAGCAAGAAGAATGACTTACACACACAGCGAGACACACCGATCTTCTAGAAGGTCGCGTTCCTGAAAAAGATGGGCGATCATGCCGGCTCGCCGAGCCAATCAAATTGCCGGCTGCATCACCGGCAGCCGGGCCGGTCGTAACCTGATTGGTTGAAAATGCCGACGAGGGGAAGTGTGCGATCTATACAGGCCGAATGGGTTTTGTTCACCAACTCAACCACCTGAATCCATTGTTGGGCGATAAGAATCCAAGGTGGGCTTCTTATTACCTGATTTCCCCATAACAACACACTATATCTTTCCATCTGTCGGGCCTTGCTCCTTTTTCCCCTCTTACCACCCCTTCGTTTAACCCTCCTTCAACTTTCCCCCCCTCCTTCACCGGAAGTTGGCCTGGTCGATCCACAGTAAGTTGTCTCATGAGATAATATTATTGCACTGCCCCGCGTTACATTTGTTTTATCTAATCGAATTCGCCTCCAGGTTTCTCTCCGTTAAACATCTAGCACTGTGGACTTGAGACCATTCCAATTTCCATCCGTTCTGTCTCTCTACTTCGCATATCCCCCCTCACCTCACAATTTCTACACCCACTTTACTGCGACAAGTTTCACTTCCAGACGGCCCGTTCAATCGATGATCGTGGCTGGGCTGTTCTGAATAAATCAACATACACACATATACACGCATATATACTATACACGCATCATGATTCAAGACCTTCAGGAGAAGCACATGTCGCTGAGTATCCAGCGCAATGGCAGCCGGCTCGCCGAGCTCATGGTGGCGGATACCCTCGTTGCTGCAGGCTCAGCAACGTTGGTTACACCAGCGGTGATGATCTTTGACAGGTTAGTGACCTTTTGCAAGGTTTCTAGAGCACTCGTTGACCCTTCCTAGACTCGTCGTCGAAAAGTCCTTCTACAACCAACCACTCTTTCCCGCATTCCGCAGACATCTCTGGTTCTCCATCACCCAACCAGCCACATTCTTAGTTTCGCGCCCTAGCCTGCTGGTCTGGGGCCTTTATACTGCAACATTCGCAACCGCCAACATGTCCGAAACCCTCCTCAATAAAGTCTATCCCAAAATCGACCATGCCATTGCCGGTATGACCACATTCGCATCCACCTTCGTGGTCAACTCCTCCGTCGGCATCTGGAAAGATGTCAAATTCGCCCAATTATTCGGCAGCCCAAAGCCAACAAAGACACCATCCCCAACACCACAACCTGACGCCAAACCACCTCCTCCCCAAAGATGGTTCGCTCCATCGGCCGCACCAGAATCCCCCTGGCCACATACTCAGCTTTCCTTCTCCGAGATGGCCTCACCATCTTCGGCTCCTTCAGTCTCCCCGCAATGGTCTCGGCTACTATCCCGGACTCCATTGCTTCGCAAGAATATCTCAAAATCCTCATCGCGCAACTTGCCATCCCGGCCTCCATCCAGCTTATTAGCACCCCGATCCACCTTTTCGGCCTGGACGTATACAACCGACCGCAAGTGATGCCTACAAAAGAGCGTGTCGCACGAATCAGCCGCGACTGGATCGGCGCCTCGCTACTTCGAATGTGCCGCATTATCCCCGCGTTTGGAATCGGGGGCTTCGTGAACACCGAAGGCCGGCTCTATCTACATGAACAGCTGGATGAGCGTCGCGCCCCTTCATGAGTCCACCCATCGTCCAACCAATACAAAAAAAGCCCCCCCACAAAATAAATAGAATATCATATAGAACAATATACCCTCATTTTGCATTTTCTTTTTTCTTCACATTTCATTTTCTGACCTCATCACGTCACTACCTCAAAGTAATTTCGCGTTGTGTGCTTATCGGCTATCAACCCCACCACCCACGCCGACCGGCCCGGTTTTCTGCGCTTGGCCTCGGCGTGGACCCCGGCTTCACCGGGCCTGCTCTGCCCTGTGAGGGGCTGTCGTAAAGAGAATTTTGCTGTCTGATTTTCTGTTAAATTTTTGATTTCTAGGCCCGCTTCGCGGGGTTGGGCACGCTTTTCTCCCACCGACTTTTATATGCCGCCCGGAAGAAGATCCCGACCACGTCCCGGTGGGGAAGTTCGAACTTATATGGTCATGACTCAGAGGTTAAGGCAACACACTGTAAAATACCTCTATATACAACTACTGACCACCTTGCGCTCGTAGGGCGCCGTAAATAAGGCCAAGTATACTATACTTCAAAGGCGTTGGGACAAATGCGGTGTCAACACCATCCGTCATCCCGGTTCTAGTAACATAATGATTTGGGGTTGTTTTAAATTTGCTATACCAAGGATGATAGACAAAGATCGTCTTACACAGAAATATAAGTGGGTGAGACCGAGAGAGTTGCAATTAAAGAAATTGAGTGTGTTAAAGACTTCCTCAATTGCCAATTCCCTACTTGCCCAAGCCGAGACTGTTGATCAGGTTATCGATTCCAAGACCACCAAGAAGACCATTAACAAGTCCACCAAGGCCAAGCCCGCTCAAAAGATTATTGACAAGACCGAGAATACCACTTAGAAGCAATCCAACTGCCGTAATGATTTGGAAAAGTGGTTCGGATAGCAACGTCCATAGCGGATTGAGCTTTTTCTTCGCATGAGGCATATCTGCAATTCTCTGGCGGCCTTTTTCAATAGTATTCATCACAGTCTCAGTCAATTGTTTCAGAAGATCTGCTAGCTGATATTCCTCTGGTGTCGCCTCGTGAGCAGCACTGTGGGCTTTTGCAGATGCAGCGATGGATCCATCGGGATCGAGCGCCCTGATAGTGCCTTTACACTCCTGTAGGATGTTTCCGGCATTTTCAATCAGAGGTTTCACGCTCTGAACTAGTTTTTCTTCATCCAACTCCTCACGGGGCGTACGATCGGCTCTTTCAAGATGCTATATCAATTTAGTTATATGAAGTGAGACAATCCAAGAGAGCCTTACCTCTGTGATCTGTTTGCAGAGCGGCTCCACCGATTCAAGTGTTTGCTGTATAACGGTCGAAATCTTCTTCGCCAAATCTTTGTCATGTTGCTCTTTGGCCTGTTTCTCAGCTTCCTCAGGGGATATTTCGGGCTCGGGCTCGGGCTCGGCGTCTGGCAGGTTCTCCTCCAGCGTGCATTCGCCGATTTGATTTCCATCATTGTCAACGATATAGCCATCATCATTCACCATCTTGCCTATTAAGGCTTTAGGGTTACCCATGGTGAGTCTGCCTATTAGGTTACCATCGATGTCGCGGACCTCGCCATCTCGGTTCACCTTTCGGCCACTCATTGGGTTGATATCGCGTTGCTTTTCCTCGGGAGTCCATCGCTCTGCACGGCCGATGATATTGCCCACTTTGTCCACAATTTCACCATCTTCATCCACGGCACGACCAACAAGTCTTTTTGGGTCCCCGTCAATTAGCCTACCGACCACTTCCTTTTCAGAAGTGATCACACATCCATCTTTTGTTACAGTCAAGTCATCGAGCCCATAGAACACACCCTCAGGTCGCTCTCGCTCAGCAGCAGGGATCAGTTCAGCGTTGCCTAGCACTTTCCCATCATCACTCCAGATCTGACCTTCTCCATCCACCTTCATTCCATTTAGTTTCTTTGGATTTCCTGAAACAAGCCGCCCAAAGACCGCTCCAGTTTCGTCGACGATGTTTCCAAATTTGTTGACTGTCATCCCATCAAGTTCGGAGAGGTCTTCCTCTGGTTCTTCAGAGGGTTCGGATGGTGTGTATGGTTCAGCGCGTCCTATCACGTTGCCACGCTTATCCATGATATCTCCATCTTCATCCACAGCTTTACCTCGCAATTTATTAGGATCTCCCTCAATGATCCTACCAACAACATCGCCTTCCTCGGTTTCAACAAGCCCATCTTGTCTGACCACCAGATCACCCAGGTCGCTAAAAGGAGCTGGCACCTCACGCTCCTCTTCCGGAATCAGCTCAACCCTTCCAATAACCTGGCCATCATCACCCCACATCTGACCTTCGTTATCGATCGCCCTACCAACAACCTTTTTCAGGTCTCCCTCTGTTACACGGCCTACCAATGCGCCGTCTGGTCCAAAAACAAAGCCCAACTTGTTAGGCGAGAGACCCTCCAAGGAAGAGAAGTCGACCTCTTCTGGCTCTGATTCCGGTTCTTCCCAGGGCTCAGCGTGTCCAATGAGATTGCCTCGTTTATCTAGAACATCCCCATCGTCATCGACAGCCCGACCAATAAGACTCTTGATTTCACCATCAACAATCTGGCCTACCCGGGTCCCAGATGCGTCTTCGACCCAGCCATCCTTGACCACGACAAGATCTTCGAACCCTGCGAATGGGCGCTGATCCTCCTCTTCAATTGCAATTGTTTGCGCTACACCCAAGATATTTCCTCTGTTGTCCCAGAATTGACCGCGATCATCAAGCTCGAATCCTCCTTTGCATATCTCTTTGGCATTGCCCTCAATAAGTTCACCAATTGGCACACCATCCTCGCCGACGATGTTTCCGAACTTGTTGCACTTCAGGCCTTCCAGCGTTGAGATGTCAGGTAATTCCTTGGGGATTTCAGGTGACTCGTTGGCGTCTGCATATTCTTCTTTTTTGTCTTCGAGTTCTTGCATCGCGTTTCTTGCAGCTTCACCTGGCACTGGCTCAACTCTTCCAATAACCTCTCCGTTGTCGTCCAACACTTCGCCTAGTTCGTTTGGGATCTTTCCTGACATTTGCTCCAGATCTTGATATTCAACAACTTGGCCTAAATCCTCGCCTTCATCATTCAGAATTTTGCCATTTTCGTTGATTTCTCTGCCCTGAAGAATGGCAACCCCTGGCAACAGTACGCCACCTGTGGGTTCGGCTTCACCGGCCTGCTCTTCGACTTGATCTAGGGTGATAGGCTCGACTCGCCCGATCAAGTCTTCATCTTCATCAAGAATGTCGCCATTCTCATCAACAGTTCGGCCCGCCAAATCAGCGGGGTCACCTTCAACAAGCCGTCCTAATACTCGTCCGTTTTCGTCTTTGACTAGGCCGTCCTCTGTAACTGGCAAGTTTGCGAGGTCGTGCAGGCTGGGGATATTACCTGTGTCAACCACTTCTTCGACTTCATCGGCCTTCTTTACAGTCTCGTCGCTGACCAGCTCAACTCGGCCAATCAGATCACCATCTTCATCTAAAATCTCACCACCTTCCCCAACCACCTGGCCAGAAAGGTCACTAGGGTCACCCTCGACGAGTGTTCCAACTGCATTGCCATCATTGTCAAGGATCTGTCCTTCCTCGCTGACCTCAAGCCCCTTCAATTGAGACAAATCTGTGGGGAGGCTGGGAATCTTCTCCGTGAGTTTGTTGGCAGCGCCCTTTTCGTCAGACTCGGCCCCTTTAGTGACACCTCCAATACTATCCTGGATGTCGCCAGGAGCTAACCGGGATTTTGCAGCTGTGGCCCGATCACCGAAATCTCTGACGGTGCCCGTAAAGTCTGAAATACGCGAGGCTACATTCTTCCCTCGCTGGAAGAATGAGCCACCGCGCGACCCGGAGGCGGAGTCTCCTTTCTTAATTTCGGGTCGTCTCTGCTCTTCAGAGGGGATATCTGCCACCTGTAGCACGTCTTCTGGGCCGTCAATCGTCTCTTGATGCTCTTCGATGGTCTCTCTTATCGGCAGTGGCTCCTCATATTCCAAGTCGACTGCATTGCTTCCTTCCCGAGCACTAATTTTGTCGGCATTTGGAGTCGCGCTTTCCGATAACTTTTTTTCTTGGGGCGTTGAAGGCAATTCCTTGGTACCCGGTTTCTTTGGCAATTTTTGAATTTTCTTCTTGGGTGTGATAGGTGTTTTGGGCTTGCTTATGGGTTTCACTTGCTTCGAAGGCTTGATATTTGATGCTTCCTGATCAGCTATAGGGCTCTGGGAAGCTGCATCTTTTTCCACAGGCGTATTACGCGGCGTTGGGTGCTTTTTCGCTGATGGAACTCGCTTTGTCGCCGGTGATGCCATTTTGTTCTTGCTCTTTCGCAGCTTTCCGCAGCCGGTTTTCGTTAAACTATTATCTCGTTTTGCAGGTATGATTTGATAACCAATACGATTTTAATGAGATTATTGTAAGACGTGAGATATTCGAGCATGTAATTTATATATCATGATATTTTACGAGCAAGATTTTATACCCTTCATGATGTCATCACCTCAAGTGTATGTAGAGATCAAATGACCATCGAGAAACATTTGTAGACGAGCTTCAAAACTTTACCATGGAACAGCCCTGGAGGGACCCTGACTCAAGCAATAGTATGTCGGATTGCAAGAAGGGGGGCCTGAATGACAATGTCAGATATACCGCGGTACCACAAAGCCTCGTGGTCATTATAGAAGGACCCGGCCCGTGCCAAGAAATTTTGTGGCTCAAAGCTGTTTTGTCCAGCCCAGCGTGTTGCCACACTAAGGTTGCTTTACAACACTCTATGGCACTGACGTCTCATAACTTCTAGATTTCTGTTCAATCTTGGCGTCGAAGGGAAGGGAATTATGCCTGGTTCGTCTGGGCGTCGGTACCAAGAAGCTCCGAATACCATAAATCAACATACTCAGACGATAAATCAAAAAGACAGATTAAGCAAACAGCTAACCACATCCTAGAGCCAGTAGGCAGGTACTCATCAAATTACTCATCAATCAGGTCCTGTATATTATGAGCTTCATATTTCCCAAAGTATGATAACGATGAAGAAGGACTCACAGAAGACTTAACGTCAGATCTCCGCGTATCTTAGCTCTTAACTCGACCTCAATGTCAAGGTTCAGATCAAGTCTCAAGCTCAACGCAGTTTTATCATCTTTGATTATCGCTTGCCCCGATTCGCGACGCTCAGTTATTGGTTGTATAGGAGCTATTCCTCTCATTGCCGGTAGTTCTGTAATCGCTTCTCTTTGAATCACTTCTGTGGGTGTATCGCTATCATCTTGGGCTGAGGCTTCTCTCTCGATAGACTTGGTTTTAGATGTCATGATAGAATTGGGATTTGATCCCTTCCGGTGATCGGCTTCTTTTGCAAAATTGTTTTGGAGATAATATCCCTGTTTGGTGTAGAAATCAGATTCATCCACTTCGCCCGAATGATCTGTGTCTTTTCGAAATGTTGGCTTTTTCTGTGTTTTGACGGTATCCATAGTATTCATTGATATGTATAAATGAGAAACAAATATTTTATGTATAAAATTAGGGAAATAGAAATCGGTCGCATAGTCAAGTCATGAACTCAAATCCACGGGTCCCACATTTGCATGACGTTGAAGATCCTTGGTTTGAGCAATTTCATTGGCTCCCAAACGGAGGCTCTGAGCATTGAAACTTGAAGCGAGCTTATCCGTTAACTAGAAACAAGTTTTGACATCACTTCTGTGTCAGTGGTTGAACTTTAAAAGAGCTGGTCATTTTCTTCCGGAGTCCAGACTCGGCAAAATCCCCGTTATACTTTATCTCCTGGTCGGGTCTATCATGACGTGAGCGGAGAGGACTGATTGAATTGCAAGAACTAAAGCAAAAAGAATTCCATTTTCTAGAAACTCGCACTTTCATCTTTAACAAAGCACATGAATGTGTTTTTTGCCATCAGCCAATGCAGAATAATCATGATACTCCAACCATGAATGGCGTCGCGACTGCTTCCGCGCCGAAAAGGAAACCCCCGAAACTCCGACCTCCCAAGTTGCGAAAGAGCTCAACCTCAGATCCTGCAACGAGCGACTTCAATGAGCAAAGAATAAATGGTGCTACGGAATCTACCAAATCAAACTCTCCGTCTGCAAACTCGGGTAGCATTTCCACAGATCCAAGACAGAATGGCCGACTTTCTCCTTCACCTCAGGCTGAACCTCAGGTTGATGAAAACCAAAACCAGCGCACTCGACACCATCGCAGACCCCGCCAACCTTCGACACAGTCACAAGATCCATATCAATATCAAAGCACCGAGCCTGAGGACAGTGGTAACAGAAGTTCGGAACAACGGACGGTGCAGGAAAGGCGCGTGAGCCACATACTTCACCCTCAGGAAGCCGGCGGCCAGATGCAGGGGAACAGTGAACTTGTTCCAAGACCAGCAGCTGGAGGTGTGGAGCAAGTGTCAGAGGTTACAGAAGTAAAGCCTCAGTCGAAGAAGAATGATCAATTAAAGCTGAGGTTGGACTTGAACCTGGATGTAGAAATTGAATTAAAAGCCAAGATCAGAGGAGACGTAACGCTGCAACTACTGTATGCCTTTCTTTCGCCGACTGGGTTTCATTCCTGACTTACTAACTTGTCTGACAGACAATAATATATTATTCAACTCTACGAGATCCGTTGTTTTTTGGGGACATCGAGGGCCCCGAAAGGGATAAATGAATGAGAATATACAGCTTATTGATATTCGGATTATAGAGCCACGTCTAAAACTTCGTACCGGATTTTATGATTCGTATATTTGCAAATCACATCTGTCAGTAGCAATACTTTCATTATGTCCTGCAGAAGGAGGTAGCCAAGATCAGACTAGAGTATGGTGATTACTACAATGTAGTTGATTTGCAAAGTATGTTGCCATCACTAAGCCAAAGTTGTTTAACGCCCCGGTGAACAGCAAAGTGAGACGGCAATCCATCGGGTTTCACCTTGCAACTTTGAGCCTGGATCAGCCGTGGCTCCGGGTATCTAACCTTACCATTCCGCACTTTTTATTTACGTATTCAAAAGTTTAGCTCTTCCGGTCTCTTATCTCAGATCTCACCCTTTACTTATGCTCTATAAAGTGTATGTCGCGATCAAGTGCGAGCTTTGGATGACAAAATTCAGCTCGACCAGCTGGACTAGACATCTAGACACTGGAAGGTTTCTTCAAAGGGGGTAAATGTATGATGGGATGGCTGCCTCTTTTTCCTTACAAAAAAATAAAGAAAAACATCGTCTGTTCAATGAACTCTTACTTAACAAACCAAGACAAACGAAAGAGTTGCTGCGCATTAATCCTGAAGCCACACATTGACAACTCGGGTATCCACTTCCAAGTTACCATCATACATCGATATAGTTATCATTTCAAAACCCGACGACCTAGCCAGAAAATTGAATTGGACTGTATTGTCAGACATCTGCTTGGCCCCGAGGAATAGGGCATGCTGCCAAATCCAAATAAATTAGCTTCTCCTCCATGGCAACAAAGAGCATGATGTAAAACTCACCCCTCGTGGACCTTTGATTGTATACCCTCTCCACACCTGCTGTGCCGCCAACGTGGGCTGCTTTTGACTTAGCAAGAATTCTCCTGGTTATAATAGAAGTTTGACTTGGGGAGGGGTTCAGCTCACCGTTATAGTAATAGTAAATGATTGATTGACTTTGATCGGAAGACTCTTGTCGGTGTTGATATTCTGGATCCACGTCTGTCCCGTTGGGACCATGCTCGTGTCCAAAAGAATCTTAAGTTGAGCTTTCAGCGTCGCTGTGTCGACGGTTTTGAGCTCGGTCGACCTGACAACGGCCAGATATCCCGCAGACGGATTGCAGAAAATGCGAATGCTTCCTGTGACACTATCGCTCTTACCCTCGTTTGAAGTCTCAACCACCTACTGATCCCTGATAGTCGCAACATTCATGCATGTCCAGCTCGTAGCAAGAGCAATTGAGCTGGACATCGCAAAATCCTATGGATTCTGAAATTTACCGCTAGACTAAGAGATCTGCCATGGCACTCCTAAATATCATTGAAGAGCACTTTCGAAAAATAAATAAACTTAAAATGCGAAAAGAAAAAAGATGAAAAACATACAACAGATATTGTATGTCGCTGACCACCTAGCGCCTACGAGTTTGTCCTAGGCGGCTCGCCGCTCTAGCGAGGCGTCCCTTTAGCCCTTCACCTGAAGGGCTGGAACTGATATTTAAAAGTCGCCTTTGTAAGTTCTAACAGGGAAAGATTTGACGAGGTGTCAAAACGCATATGTTTCTCAGCCCGTCCCGAGTATGCGTTAATATGTAGTTGGTCACACTAGGACGACTGCTGCTTCGCAGTGTCACGTGTTGAATTGTATTGTAAAGAATGTTCTAGGCAGTGCTTCCAAGCGGGGAGGGGTCATTGTCCTGGCGATCTGGCTTATCTTTGCAGGCTGTACTTCTGTTCTTCCCGTCCATGCATAGCCTTCGTCTTTACCAAGATCTTTCATGACACGAAACTGTGCTGCTGCTGGAGAGGACTACAGTCGATGTCGAAAACTGATTATTTGAGTGACACCACACATGTTTCTCGGTTCGCACGGTCGTACCCAAATCTGCCCTCGTCTGAGGCTAAGCTGTAAATCCCGATCCTCTAAGAATATATAATCTTCATTCAAGAATGTATATATACGTAAAGTACTGTATATTACACGAAACTCCTTTGCATCACTGCTTGGCCCTTGTATCTCGCTAGACGGAATGGAGATAATGGAAGGTAAATCTTCTTTAGCAATAAGGATGCTGATGAACAAGGTGAACAGCTACATGGCAATAAAAAAACACACCTGGCCACGTTTACGACTCGATGAAATGTGACTTGCCTTTATACCTTTTGGCTCTACCATTTATGGCCAATCGGGGGAAAGGCATTATCAGCCCAAACATAAATCATGAGGAGTTCTGTCACGTACGCCGGAAAACGAGGTGCTCTGGAGACGGACGAAGACCTTCCCGATGAAACCAGGAGGAGCCTTTCATGGAGGGGCGGAGGCTGGAGAAGGGAAACCGCAAGGGTGGTAGACATTCTTGGGGGGGAAGACCGTATCCACCTCTTTTTTTACAGTTAAACCAATTATTTTGCGTGTTTTGGCGCTGGCCTCTGCAGATTCCAAGCTAAATCTTTTCCCTCTTATTTGTTCAGCTACTGCCCCTGGCCCTCTATTGGCCCCACATTGTGGCTCAACTGAACTACACCGTCTGACCAACATAATTGAGGATCGTTAGCGTGCAGTAGCGTGAGCTCTTGTAACTTACAGTATCTAAACAGCTGAGTTTTCATGCAACCAGGGGCTTTAGTGAGGAGAAATCTTGGCTGAGTATCTGAAATACGAGATCCGAATTGTGATCTCAACCAGGGGTTCTCAATTATATTGTCGAGACAGTGTACCTGCCTTAATGGTTAGTCCCTAGTCTAATTATATCCCGTTCATAAGAAATATCCTTTCCTGGCCACAACGAGGCTATCTACAACTTTCCCCGCCTGTCTATTCTTCTCTACATCCCGTTTCCTCCAACAAGAGTATATCGTTACCGACTCCGACTTTGCCTGGCTATGCACAAAGGAAACACTCCCGATGAGATCCAACGCCTATTCCCCTTACCGACAACCGCTAAGAATGACTGTGACCTTCCGGCAGCTACACCAAATACCGTTGCCTGGAGCAAACATCTCCCTTTCAGCCTTCATCTCATCCCTCTAATCCTGAGCATTTTGCTGATATTCAGCGATGCTCGTAACTGGCACGTGTCTGGCAACCTGGACACACTGGTGGATCAATATCGTACCTCTGTCCAAACAGCCGTCCAGGCCATTGCCGCTGTGCTGGCAGCCATCGAGGTCTTTGTACTCTGTCGACTAATTAATCTGGCGACTCGCATTTGGTTCACGAGAGCCTCTGTTTCACTCAATACGCTGAGCTTCTGGTCAGCACTCTCCACTCCCACGATCAACTGGAGCCTGCCCTTCCGGATGGTTACTATCACCGTCGTACTCAGCAATCTATCTGCAGTGATCTCCGCCTTGTGGACAGGTGCCCTGACTCCTGCAAACACAACCAGCATCCAAAACACTACCGTTCTCGTTCCAGACTGGTCCAACTTGTCATATATTCAAGAATACCCATCGGAGGTCGACAAGACTGGTTTGACGATTCGTAACACAAAGGGCTACTTCACCTATTCGGTTGGCATAAGCATGCTCGGGTCTCTACTGTCCTCAGTCAACTCAGCCTCTCCTGTCGATGGGGGCATTCGCAACCATGTCAAGTTAGATAATACAGGCTATAGCTATCATGGCCGATCTTATGGAGTAGGGGCAAGCGCTGGCCTCCTTGATGGATCGGTTCTCAAAACTCCCCGCGCCACCAACTATAGCTACAATGAGGTCGGCCTCGACACCGCTGTCTCCTGCATCTACAATGGCAGTTCGCTATTTGTAATTGACGAGCTCCCTGAGACATCTCTTTTTGCTGCGCAGGGACTCCTTCCAGACAGCAGACCCTCCTCCCCGGAATATTCAGTCTACATAGGCCGGGAAACAGCTCGATTGTTGCCATCGGCGTTGCAGCGAAACCCATCGCGTTTATAGCAACGCGCTACATGGCTGTGGCCGCAGGCAACAACTATGCATTCCTGAATGCCGCCCAGTGCGCTATCACCTTCACCCCGGCGCTTTTTAATGTCTCTACGAATATCAAGGGACGCAATATCACCGTCAGCAAAGTACCTGTCTCGGAACCATCGGCTTCCCCGACCCCCAGCATCGATCCTGACCACAATATGACTCACGTCGTCATGCGTCAGCTGGAACTCATCGCAAATGATTTGACTGGTTATTACCGCTCTCCACTCGGCGACGCCTTGAACACCAGTATTAGCGACTATAGGACCTCTGCTGCGAACACTAAGAGAAATATGACGGAAACCTTGTCGGAGACGCAAGTTGCCCTGAGGGGGGCTGGAAAACGCCGTAGTCTCCTTAGTTGACGACATTCTCGTCGCCTATGCATCGGCCCAATTGATGGTGGGGGGGTTTCACAGCATCCGTGCCAGTACGAGTGCAGGTCTCGGCGCTCCGCGTCGGATCGCGAGGCTATATTATTGCAAGTGCGGTTATCGCAGGTTTAATTGCAATGGTGGTGATTGGCGAAGCTATCCGCATGCGACGGTGGAGGGCGCTCCCAGAATTTGATTATCTAGACAACCGAATGCTGGTTGTCAGTGCGTCAAAGGGTGGCGAGGCGGTTGCCAATTATGTGGAACAGGTAGAATGCAAAGACATCGGCGGAATTCCAGTGGGGTGGAAGGGAGGGAAAGGAGACTGGAATAGTGGAGAGATTAGCTTGAGAACGAGATAGTTGTTGCATGTCTGTGATTCACAGAAATTCATTGAACGGAAGTTGTGGCTTTTGTAAATTCAAAGAGGGCCAACTATAATCTTCAATACTTGGGCCTTTGTGGCCAAGATGGCAATGCCCTCTTCCTTTGCCTCGATCTTGTCCATATATCATTTGAATTCTTGGGGGTGTGATCTTCCAGTACAGTTAGGAGGATACTCAAATACTCACAAAGATCAAGCTACGACGTAGCGTGATCGAGCAAAGGAAGTAGTAGCGGTCTGACGAAATTAGTAGCTTGAGGAGAACAAGAAGGAAGCTAGGATGTAGAAGCCTAGATACAGTAGGCGTGGATGGCTAGGGTGGACGCCTTAGGCATCAATGACAATAGTTAGTAACAACTTGGGTTCGTTACAACAGTCATAACTCCGAGTTTTAATCTCAGCGTCAGGTCCAGCAAGTGCGGAAAAAGATAACCAACTATCGGAACTAATAGCCCACTAGTAGCGCCCACCTATCTACTCGCCATATTTAAGTAGATCCATGTTCTGCGCATATATTTGTGCGCCCTTTTTGTATATTTAAAAACCACCGAGTATACACATCTCTCTACGCCCATTCGCTCTACTCCATACTGTATCTGCCATAGGTCAGAGTGGTGGAACAATGCATCATCAGTAACTAAGACAAGACTTGCGCTCTTGACATCTTCCGCAATGCCGATGTACCGTCTTGAGCATACAGTGGTGCTGCTAAAATCTGTGACCCTGCTTGGCTGCCAGTGGTATCACCTTCTTCAAATAGCCTATCAACCCACCTAAACGCTTAGTGATGTATCGTACTGTGCTTAATATTTTGATCACTAACTAGTTTGAACCATGTACAAGAGCTTTGCCTGTGTCTAGTGTTTCATTGTAGCTACTGAATGTGATTTTTGATTTTAGTACGAGAATTCCTCCGCCGAATTTGCTGCCATTGACGCTTAGGAGCGGTAGGATTTGGCTTGAGCCTCATCTCGATTGCAAATCCGAGACCTCCTGCGCAAAATGGCTTATCAGGAGATGAATCTATGATCATATCTAGGCCGAAATGGTAGTATAGAAATTAATTAAAATAATTGCTGATATCCTACGATAAGAGCTCTTAGAATCGGCAGCTGCAGCTTATCAAATATAATTACTACTCTCTATATAAGTGTGTTAGGTGAAGATATTTATCTATATTATCTAGATTCTAAAAAGCCAGATATATGATGTTACTGAGAATTGAGAATATAGTCATTATATTTAATTTCTAGTGTATGAATTGATTATGTTGGCTGTCTGCGTATATAAATTGTGGTACTGCGTGTGTGATATGGCTTCTACAAATACCTTGCTGGCTAATTCTGAGAATTAGCTTATTATTTGGCTTTTAGCTTAAAACTGAGCTATTCTATACAAAACTCATTCTGCTTTACCTAATACTGATATCCACTGTGCTTTTATCAAATTTTAATATGACCAAGCCGCCGATCCCCGTTGCGCTGCCGCCGTGGCGTCCTTTACCCTGACAAGTTCTGAGCTTACAAAAATTGATGTACATGACCAAGTAATTGGGAGGCCTATTCGACAAATCAATAAGTCCTCCGCGCCGAACACAAGCGGTTACATAGCCCTCACAGTTGGGGTTTTGAAAAAAGGTGGGTGGCGGGTGGTGGGACCTGACCATGGTCCGCGAAAGGAGATCACCACGGTCCGTGCCGTTCATAGTAGCCTCTTGTCCAGGATTGTCATATCCTAAGCTCGTACTATTCTTTTATCGACAAAGTCACCGACAAAATCTTCACAGCCTTCCTCGAAATAAGATAGTCAAGACCGGACCAGACAGTGGTGGCGGCTACAACGTATCTTGTTCCTACAGCGTAGGCAAATCAGTTTGTTCAGGGCCAAAACAAGGCGAGGCTTACGGCGGGTAGAGTGGTGTTGCAAGGGAGACATGAAACACGACAGGTTTAGCCGAGTGGCCACGTCATCCGTTCAGGGGTGTTCAGGGCGTTCAGGTGCGGGGCTGAAGGGTAAAGCGGCAAGGCCACTTTTCCCAAAAATCAAACAAAATGTGGCAATGGAAAAGAAAAACATACAACAGCAGGGATTCGCATGTGGTCACCCACCATACTACTAACCTGCCGGCGTGTGGCTTAAGTACGGCTGAGCGGACGGGAAGCCCTGTTCTCCACACCCTATGGTCGTATGTACTTGACACAACTGGAAAGGGAAATATATACTTCTAGTGACAATGTTCCTATAGTTCCTTTACCTCCGATACCCCAGCTTTAAGATCTATCTTTATGATATACAGAAATTCCAGCGCCTCCCTTTATTTTTGCATGTGGATTCCCCACGCAGGCAACAACCAGCAGAGCCTCAATTCATCTAAATGACTCAGCCATGCCCCTCCCGGTGGCTGAGCCTCATCAGACGAAAATTCAAAATAAATAAATTCACCCCTGCGACTCGCTCCCTAGTTCAAGTCATCCGATTCAAAGAAAACCTCACAATGGCGTCAATCAATATACTAGATGATCTCCTTCGGGGACCCGCAGAAGATGCGACAGTCCACCAGATCGACTTCACGAAAACATGCCCACCCATCACCGCATTCAAAGACAACTTCGCCGCCGTAATCGACAATTTTCTGACCGAAGCCGAGTGCAAAGAGCTCCTCCAAATTGCAGAGGAATCCATCGTTTCTGCAAGAGCCAGCACACATGCAGACTCATCCGAGTCCCAATCACCAACTCCAGTCTGGGAACGCGCGATGATCAATGTCGGCGGCGGGAAACAAGTCATGTCAGTTGACAGCCGCAAAAGCGGACGAATTATTCTCGACTCGGTTGATATTTCGCAGCGGATCATGGACCGCTTGCTTCCATTTATGCGCGATTTTGGTATCGAGCGAGTGCAGAATCAGCCATTAGTCACCGGACTTGGTCCCGCCCGAAGAGGCGATGTATATCTAAAGCCACGACTCAATGAGCGCTTACGATTTCTGCGCTACGAGGGAGGTGATTATTTTCGACCTCATTGGGATGGATGCTACGTTACTCCCGACGAGTCGGAGAGGTCATTATTTACGGTCCAACTGTATTTGAGCGGAGAAGGCGAGCAAGACATGGAAGAGCTGCAGCCATATTTGGAGCTTGCAGAGAAGGAAAATGCTCTTATTATAGGCGTTGACCCAGACGAAGAGCACTTGAGGAAGGTGACAGCTCAAAAGGAGAGACTTTCCTGTGAGGCAGCGGGCGGCGGACCGGAGACTCTTCTAGGTGGTGCCACGTCTTTTATGAGTGGTTTCAAAAATAAGGATTCTGTGCGTGTGTTTCCTAAGACGGGGAGAATGCTCATCTTTCAGCAGAGGAATCTGATGCACGGTGGGGACGATGTCTTCCGTGGGGTCAAGTATACGATTCGGTCGGATGTGATGTACTCAAAGTTGGAGAAATAGATAATATTTTCGATGTAAATTGCAAAAATACTATTTTATTTTCCATGTCTATAACTAAATTATATATGGCATTAGTTGACTGGTTGAAAGATGTGCGCGCAGCGGACGGTACTAGTAGTAGTATTATGCCGCCATATTTTTTATCAACTTCATTTAATTTGGTTGATAAAATTATTCACATGTGCTGTTCAATGTCAGCCCCCTCGTCTCACCTGCATTTCCAAGATGTTAAAGATGCTGAATGCCAATGGTAACCCTTCGGCCCCGCAAAGCCCGAGCTTATCAACCGTTTTCGACCTTACGTCATGCCGCATCCAGCACGGCGCGAGGGCCGAATTCAACTCAACATAAAACACACCACCTCGCCTCGAATTGTGTTTTCCAGACTCATATCTACCTCACTGTGACAACCAAGTGCTTGCATATCACACAATTGCCAACTCCTCCATTCTTCACACAATGTCGTCCACCAACAACGTGGCCTTCACGGCGCCCATCAACCCACCCGGAACCACCCCACTCTCGCTCTCACAAATCTGGGCCGGATTACTCTTGAAGATTCGATCTGCCGAAACATTCGTCGCCGCAGCAATCGAGTCCACAGATGTGATCAGCGAATCGACAGATTCACAAGGCAACTCCGTCACCACTCGCGAAGTCCTGTTCCGCGAGACACAGAAAAAGGTCAAGGAGGTCGTGACCGCGTTCGAAACTTGTCGCGTGGAGTTTCAACAGCCCGACGGAAGCCGGGTATCTAATGTTATCAGCGAAGGTGCTGGTGGGGAACTATATATGACCTATATCTTTGAGTGGAGGCATCCCGGGGTCTCGAACGAAGAATTGGCCGCTCTGCTCGAGAAGGAGAAGAAGATGAGCAAAATGGCGGTTGAGGGGACTATCAAAGTCATGCACCAGTTGGCCGAGGAAAAGAAGATTTAAAAAAAATCCAAATGAACCAGCATAATAATCGACAAATAATTTGTTTCTCAATGCTACCAATCATCACTGTCGTAGTCCACCTCGGGATAAATATCTCCTCCGTATATTTCAGGTAGCCTGGTTTCCGAATAATGGCGCTTGAGGGCCTTGGCCTTCATATTCCGAGGATTGGTCATGCTCTCGATCATCAGCTTGGTAGTGGGTGTATGAACTGGCTGTCTGCCG